TGGATGTTTGTTTGGGGGTCTCTTGGGAGGTTTTTCGTCGGGCTTTTGGAAGCTGTTTTGAAGCCTCCTGGGGGGCCGTTTTGGGGCCTCTTAGGATTATGTTTATCAACTTGGGGAGGGGTCTTGCCGAGCAGAAGGTGCCGCACAACAGGTGGGGCACGCCTAGCACCAATGATTATTTTCTAATAAACTTGGGGAGAGCTCTTGCCTATCAGAGGGTGCCGCACAGCAAAGGGGCACGTCTAGCACCAAGGATTCTTGTTTATCAACTTGGCGAGAGTCTTGCCTAGCATAGGGTGCCGCACAGCAAAAGGCATGTCTAGCACCAGGGATTCAATTTTAATGAACTTGGGGAAGGGTCTTGCCTAGCAGCAGGTGCCGCGCAGCAAAGGGGCTCACCTTGGAGAGGATGCCGCACAGCAAAGGGGCACATCTAGCACCAAAGATTATTTTTGTATCAAATTGGGGGGGGTCTTGCCTAGCAGAAGGTGCCGCACAACCGATGGGGCACGCCTAGCACCAATGATTATTTTCTAATCAACTTGGGGAGGGCTCTTGACTATCAGAGGGTGCCGCACACCAAAGGGGCAGGTCCAGCACCGCGCATTCTTTTTCCCTACCTGGGCTCTGCCTAGAAGGGCTCTTACTCAGTAAACTTAAAGGGCCGGGCAGTGGAACGCGCGCCGGGCGGTTCCCCCAGCATCCGCCCCGCGGTTCCCCCAGTGACGTTCCCTTAGCGTAGCGTTGCTTATCTCATCTTAGCTTAGCGTATTTCCCTACCTAGGCTCTGCCAAGAAGGGTTCCTACTCGCTAAGCTTAAAGGGCCGGGCAGTGCAAAACGCCCCGGGCGGTTCCCCCGGCATCCGCCCCAGTTGCGCCCCCTGGGTTCACCCAGCTTAGCTTAGCTAAGTTAAACTTAGCTTAGTCTAGCTTATCTCATCTTAGCTTAGCTTAGCTTAGCTTAGCTTTGCCTAGCCTAGCTTGGCTTAGCTTAGCTTAGCTTAGATTAGCTTAGCTTAGCTTAGCTTAGCTTCTCTCATCTTAACTTAGCTTATCTTAGCTTAGCTTAGCTTAGCTTAGCTGGGCTCACCTTAGTTTAGCTTGGCTTAGCTTAGCCTAGCCTAGCTTAGCTTAGCTTAGCATAGCTTACCTTAGCTTAGCTTAGCTTAGCGCAGCGCAGCATAGCGCAGCGCAGCATTAGCACAGCATAGCATAGCATAGCATAGCATAGCATAACCAAGCATAATATAGCATAGCATAGCTCAGCATAGCTCAGCATACAATAGCATATCATAGCATAGCATAGTGCAACATAGCATAGCATAGCATAGCATAGCATAGCATAGCATAGCATAGCATAGCATAGCATAGCATTGCTTAGCATAGCACAGCGCAGCATAGCATAGCATAGCATAACATAGCATACCCCCGTCTAGCCTAGCCTAGCCCAGCATAGCATTGCGCAGCATAGCATAGCATAGCAGAGCAGAGCAGAGCAGAGCAGAGCAGAGCAGAGCAGAGCATATCATAGCGCAGCACAGCATCCACTGCTGCTGCTGCTGCTGCTGCTGGTGCTAATGTTGCTTTCCTAGAGGCTCCAACTCCTAGGTAGGGTCGCACTGGGATAATTGAATAAACTTGGCGAGGGGTCTTGCCTAGGAGAAGGAACCGCACAGCACAAGGGCACGTCCAGCACCAGGGATTCCGTTTCAATTAACTTGGAGAGGGGTCTTGCCCGGCTGAAGGTGCCGCACAGCAAAGGGGCTCACCTTGGAGAGGGTGCCGAGCAGCACATGGGGCACGCCTAGCACCAAGGACTCTTTTTGAAACAACTTGGGGAGGGGTCTTGCCTAGCAGACGGTGCCGCACAACAGAGGGGGCACGCCTAGCACCAAGGATTCTTCGTACATCAACTTTGGAAGGGCCATTGCCCAACAAAGGGTGCAACACAGCAGATGGGGCACGTCTAGCACCAAGGATTCTTGTTATAATCAACTTGGGGAAGTGTCTTGCCTAGCAGAAGGTGCCGTTCAGCAGATGGGGCACATCTAGCACCAAGGATTGTTGATTTAATCAACTTGGGGAGGGGTCTTGCCTAGCAGAAGGTGCCGCACAACAGAGGGGGCACGCCTAGCACCAAGGATCAATTGTTCTAATCAACTTGGGGAGGGCCATTGCCCAACAAAGGGTGCCACACAGCAGATGGGGCACGTCTAGCACCAAGGACTCTTTTTGAAACAACTTGGGGAGGGGTCTTGCCTAGCAGACGGTGCCGCACAACAGAGGGGGCACGCCTAGCACCAAGGATTCTTCGTACATCAACTTTGGAAGGGCCATTGCCCAACAAAGGGTGCAACACAGCAGATGGGGCACGTCTAGCACCAAGGATTCTTGTTATAATCAACTTGGGGAAGGGTCTTGCCTAGCAGAAGGTGCCGTTCAGCAGATGGGGCACATCTAGCACCAAGGATTGTTGATTTAATCAACTTGGGGAGGGGTCTTGCCTAGCAGAAGGTGCCGCACAACAGAGGGGGCACGCCTAGCACCAAGGATCAATTGTTCTAATCAACTTGGGGAGGGCCATTGCCCAACAAAGGGTGCCACACAGCAGATGGGGCACGTCTAGCACCAAGGACTCTTTTTGAATCAACTTGGGGAGGGGTCTTGCCTAGCATAGGGTGCCGCGCAGCAGATGGGGCACATCTAGCACCAAGGATTCTTTTAAAGCAACTTGGGGAGGGCCACTGCCTAGCAGAATGTGCCGCACAGCAAAGGGGCACATCTAGCACCAAGGATTCTTTTGTAGTAATCAACTTGGGGAGGGAGGGGTCTTGCCTAGCAGAGGGCGCCGCGCAGCACATGGGGCACGTCTAACATCAATGGTTTGTTTTATCAACTTGGGGAAGGGGTCCTGCCTAGCAGAGGGTGCCGCGCAGCAGATGGGGCACGTCAAGCACCAAGGATTCTTTTTTAATCAACTTGGGGAGGGGTTCTCTATGGGTTTTGCACAGAAGAGGGTGTTGCACAGCAGATGGGGCATGTCTAGCACCAAGGATTCTTTTTTAATCGCCTTGGGGAGGGGTCTTGCCTAGCAGGGGGTGTCGCACAGCAGATGGGGCGCGCGTGGTGTTAGGCACGGAAAGCGTAAAATAAAATGGCACTTTCAAATCACAAGTGGGAGGGGAACACGTTGAATACTGAGCCTGGTGAAGAAGAAACATGTTCACAGGGAATAGCGTCTTCACCCGGAATAGCGTCCTCACCCAGAATAGCGTCTTCACCGGGAATAGCGTCTTCACCGGGAATAGCGTCTTCACCCGGAATAGCGTCTTCACAAGGAATAGCGTCTTCACCGGGAATAGCGTCTTCACGCGGGATAGCGTTTTCAGACGGAATAGCGTCTTCACCCAGATAGCGTCTTCACCCAGAATAGCGACTTCACCGGGAATAACGTCTTCACCCATACCTAATAGCGTCTTCACAGGAATAGCGTCTTCACAGGGAAAAGCGTCTTCACTGGGAATAGCGCCTTCACCCATAATAGCGTCTTCACCGGGAATGGCGTCTTCACCGGGAATAGCGTCTTCACCCGCTATAGCGTCTTCACCCGGAATAACGTCTTCACCCGGAAAGACCAGGAATAGCGTCTTCACCGGGAATGTAGCGACTTCACCGGGAATAACGTCTTCACCCATAATAGCGTCTTCACAGGGAATACCGTCTTCACCGGGAAAAGCGTCTTCACTGGGAAAACGTCTTCACCGGGAATAGCGTCTTCACCCGGAATAGCGTTTTCACCGTCTTCACCGGGAATAGCGTCTTCACAGGAATAGCGTCTTCACAGGGACGCATTGTGACAGGGAATAGCATCTTCAAATAGCGTCTTCGGCGCCGGCTCGAACTGGGAACCCCAGCAAATATAATCGAATTTACTCAATTATTTCCTACTTTATTCCTTCGTTTTAAACAAAAAGAAAACAATTACAACATTTTCCGAGCCGAGGGGTGGGGGGGGGTCCCGTGGCCGAGCGTCCAGGAGGCCGGTTCGGTTCTGGCCTCCTCCTTCTATTTAGCGCCGCGTAGATCGTAGCTGCGCCCTGTTGCGTTATTTACTTACTTTTTTCCTTTCCTCCTCATTTATTTTTGTTCCTTTAATTATTTTGTATATTTGTTACACAACAAAAGAGGGCGGCCACGGGCGGGCACCGGGCGGAACTCCTCCAGACGCACCGGGCGCAGGGAGGCGGCCACGAGGCGGCCATGCGCGGCCACGAGGAGGGCACGGGCGGCCTCCACACCGGGGGCCAGGCGAAACCGCGCCACACCCATCCCCAGACCCCCTCGAGTCATGAACAAAATCACGACGGGAGGTTTTTCGCTATTTTCGGCCTCCGGGGGCCCTCACCGGGCCTCGGGAGCGTCAAAAAACGACTCGGGATGCAAAGCCGGTCATGGGGAAAGGGTCCAGACCTCTGGGGGTCGACGTCATGAAAAAATCATTACGTCGGGGGTCTGGGCCCATCCGGCGCACGTGGCGGCCGCGGGGCGGCCACAGAGGAGGCACCGGGCGAGGGCCCGCCACACCCAGCCAAGGACTGGGGCAAGGGAGGTCCGAACCCCTAAGGGCAAACACGATTTGGAGAACAGAGGAGGAGGAGGAGAGGGAGGAGGAGGAGGAGGAGGAGGAGGAGGAGGAGGAGGAATAGGAGGGAGGGAGGAGGAGGAGGAGGAGGAGGCGGAGGAGGAGGAGGAGGAGGAGGAGGAGGGGGAGAGAAGATTTCCGCTCCAGAGCGTCAGCATCGTCGTCGTCATCATCGCCATCGCCATCGCCATCGCCATCGCCGCCGTCGTCGCCATCGCCATCGCCATCGCCGCCGTCGTCGTCGTCGTCGTCGTCGTCGTCGTCGCTCCCCTTCGCAATACATCCTCATCACCCTCTCCACCCCCTCGTTCTCCCCTGCCTCCCGCTCCCTTCAGGCACACGGCCCGCGGGCCGTCGCCTCTGCATCAGCTCCTTGCGCTCGCGGTCGGAGCCGTGGGTCATGTCTCTGTGCTCCTGCCGGTTCAGGCACCCACCCCGCATGGAGGGAGGGAGGGAGAACGAGGGCGGAGGACAAGCAAAAGGCAAATGAGGAGGAGGAAAAAGAGGAGTAGCACTGCCTGTGAGGGGGGAGGCGACGGCGGGCCAAGCAGCAGCAGCAGACGACGAGAGGAGAGTCCCAGGCTCTAGCTGCCACAACGACCACTAAAGAAACCCGCCGCCACAGGGCCGCCACAGGAGGGATGATGCAAGGCCGAAGCAGAATCAAAGCAAGACTACGCGCAGTCTGCACAAAGTAGAAGGCAAGGAAAAAACAACGCAGCACCCGGTGTGGTCCACACATACCTACCCACGTGCCCGGCTCGAGCGGGATGGTGCCTGCGATTTCAGCCAGAGCAATGACCAGCGCTCGACTCGCGCTGCCGTAGTGTCCGCAGAACAGCCCGTGAAGGCCCAGAGCGCGGAGATGAGCCAATGAACCTCGCTCACGGTCAGCCGCTCGAAGGAGAGGAAGTCGAGTTCGTGCAAAGAGGGAGGAGGAGGAGGAGGAGGAGACGGACCAACGTAAACCGAAAACCATAAACGATGTTCCCTACAAGGGTTCAGTACGTGAAATTATCGCAACGTTTGAAACGAATGCGAGAAGCGCTGAGGCGAGAACCACACTTTGAAAACGGCCCGCCCTCAATACGTGAAACTCTTGCATGTTCTGTTCAAGCGAATGCGCACGGCGCTAGGGCGAGAGCCACATCTTGAAAGCGGCCCGCCCTCGAGCCGTGAAGCTGTTGCACTTGTTTGACCAACGTGCGCGGCACCAGAGCGAGAGCCACGTGTTGAAAACCGCCCGCCCTCGATCCTTGAAACTCTTGCAAATGTAAACAAAAAAAAAAAAAAACGAATGCGTGCGGCGCGAAGGCGAGACCAGCCCACATGGTTGAAAACCGCCCGCCCTCCAAAAAACGAATGCGTGCGGCGCTAAGGCGAGAGCCACCAGCCCTCAGTGCGTGAAGCTCTGGCGATTTGCTCTGACGAGTGAGCGCGGCGCTCGGGCGAGCGCCGCAGCTTGAGAACGGCCCGCCCTCGATCCAGGAAGCTCTCGCAGTTCTGCTTGTTAAAGGAAAAGGGATGGAGGAGGAGGAGGAGGAGGAGGAGGAGGAGGAGGAGGAGGAGGAGGAGGAGGGGAGGAGGAGGAGGAGGAGGAGGGGGAGGGGGGGGAGGAGGAGGAGGAGGAGGAGGAGGAGGAGGAAGAGGAGGAGGAGGAGGAGAGGAGGGAGGGAGGACGAGGAATAAGGAGGAGGAGGAGGAGGAGGAGGAGGAGGAGGAGGAGAGGAGGAGGAGGAGGAGGAGGAGGAGGAGGAGGAGGAGGAGGGGGGGGGGAGGAGGAGAAGAGAGGAGATAGTGAAGAGGTGAAGTGGGGGCAACGGGAGAAGGGGGAGGAGGAAACGAGGGAGGGTGGAGAGAGGGTGGAGAAAGGCAATGAAACAGGAAATAGAGAGAGAGGAAAAAACTAGTGAAGACAGGAAAAAGAGAGAGAGAGAGAGAGGAACAAAAAAAGAAGAGAGGGAGGGGGCTGGGATGAGAGAGAGAGGAGGGAGGAAGGAGGGAGGAGAGAGGGAGAAGGAGGGGACGGAAGGGGGGGCAGGAGGAAGAGAGAAGGCGAAGGAGAGAGGGAGGAAGAGGAGAAGAAGGAGCAGCAGGAGGAGGAGATGAAGGGACGAGGAAGGCCCCGAATCGCTGAGCCGGAGCGGGTACTCTGAATGCACCAACGTAGCGAAGAAATGCAAGAAGGCCGGAAAAGGAGGATGTGGAGAACACAACAAGAAGAAAGATAATGGGGATGCGGAAGGGGGCTCGGAGATAGCAGGTGGTGAAGCAAGGGCAGGAAAACAGGAGAGAGGGCCGTCGAGGAAGACGAGCAGGCTATGGGAGGTGACAGAATGGCGCAGAGGCCTGGTCTCCTTGAGCATGTGGAGTTGCAGGTCTTCCTCGGTGGCGAAAGCGGTGATGCGGTGGCCGTTGTGAGAGCAGTTTGGGTGAGCGCAGACGTAGTGGTCCTCGCGGAAAGCAGCTTTTCTGGGGAAACCAAAATGCACCGATACCGCTACTCCCCAAACCTCTCCCAGGGTGCGTTTTGACAACAATTCTGAGGCGGATCCAGCGGTGGCGACGAGGGCCTCCCTGGAGGCCCAAGAATGGGGAAACGAGAAAAGGGTAGCGGTAATTATGGGTACCTTTCCCCCTTCTGAGGTTCTTGCCGCCCTACCCTCCCTGCATCACCATTGCCCTTCTCTCCTTGCTGCCTCGGACGGCGCTGCGGAGGCGCCCCAGAGGCCATCCGCCGCCGGCCCTTCGGGAGCCTCCTCCTCCTCCTCCTCCTCCTCCTCCTCCTCCTCCTCCTCCTCCTCCTCCTCCTCCTCCCCCTCCTTCTCCCCCTGCTCCTCCTCCTCTTCCTCCTCCTCCTCCTCCTCATCCTCCTCCTGTCGTGATCCTTCTCATCATCATGTTCACACCTCGCCTCCTATACTGCCGCGTTCCCATCTCCTGCTAAGCTTCCCCCCGTGCCTCCTCTCGCCACTGAGACCTCCTCCGACATCCTTGCGTCAACCATCATCATCATCATCAGCAGCAGCAGCAACATCATCATCATCATCATCATCATCATCATCATCATCATCATCATCATCATCATCAGCAGCAGCATCATCATCATCATCATAATCATCATCATCATCATCTCATCATCATCATCATCATCATCATCATCATCATCATCAGCAGCAGCAGCAGCATCATCATCATCATCAGCATCATCATCATAATCATCATCATCATCATCATCATAATAATCATCATCATCAGCATCATCATCAGCATCATCATCATCAGCATCATCAGCATTATCATCATCATCATCATTGTCAGCATCATCATCATCATCATCATCATCAGCAGCACCAACAGCAGCAGCATCAGTATCATCATCAGCATCATCAGCAGCAACAACATCATCACCACCACCATCACCATCACCATCACCGTCACCGTCATCATCATCATCATCATCAGCAGCAGCAGCAGCATCAGCATCATGATCATCATCCTCATCAGCAGCAGCAGCAGCATCCTAAGCATAATCATCAGCATCATCATCATTCCCGCCTCATCCCTCTTCTCTTCCTCTCCTCCTTCGCCTCATCCTATCCTCCTCTCCTCGTCCTCTCCTCCTCTCTTCCTTCTCTCCTCCTCTTCTCATCTCCTCTTTTCCGCCTTTCCTCCTCCTCCTCTCCTCCATGCTAATCCGTTCCCCCTCGTCTCTCCTGGGCCACAGCCCACTCTGCGAGCCTCAGACTTCCCTCCCCTCCCGTTGTCCTGGCATGGTATGCGACATCTCGTGAATTCAAAACGACTGCTGTTGATGAAGGAGAGCGACACGTTTCGGCTTCGGCTCGATCGCCCGGCAAGCCAACTGTGAATCCCTGCGGCTGCCTGCCAATGATCTCCGACGCGAGGTGCCGAGCGGAAGACTGCGATGATGACGAGGACGAAGACGATGAGAAAGACGAGTGCGACGACGCGGACGAAGACGAGGACGGCGGGGGCAAGGAGAACGAGGAGGACCAGATGCCCGGGATGAGGGAGTGGAGAGGGGAAACGACAAGGGCAGAGGGGAGGGTGTAGAAGGGAGGGTGGCGATCCGAAGAACGAGGATGGCGAGGAGGGCGACTGGAAAGGCGGGAGGGGGAGGAGCACGACGGCGGCAAGGAAGAGCACAAACGATGGGGCGGAGGATGACGGAGGACCCTGAGATCCGACGCTGCAAAAAAAAATGCAACATTCCAAAAAATCACGAGCGGAGCCCTGGACCCCATCTTTCTGTGTCATTTTTCGAGCCGGATCGATATGTGAGGGTCCCGGCGCCCGAAATTCAGCGAAAACGCTCGTTGTGAGAAAATCGCGACGTCAGGATCTTACCTAGGGGAGGCGCGCCTCCGCGTAGTGGGCGGCCAAGCACCGCACGTTGGCGTAGAACTCGTTGCGCCGGCCCATCTGGGCGCAGATCTGGCAGAGGTGGTGCCTCTCGTGCATGTGCCTGCGGGCGCCGTGCGGGAGGTGTGCCCCCGCCCGCGGAGGGCCCGGCGCGGGAAGTGGAGGAGCGGGCGAGGGGGGGAGAGGAGGGGGGGGGGGAAGGGGGCGAAGGGCAAAAAGGGGGGGGGGAGGGAGGGGGAAGAAGACCGATTGCAACCACTTCGGACTGTTCAGGAACTACTTCGGTCAGATTACAACCGCTGGAAACGGACTGACAGCAACCTGAAGGATTCCTATACAAACCTGTCTGAAGAACACCGGAGTGTAACCGATCCAGAGCTTCTGCAGAGCTCTCAGCGAGGCCTCAGCGAGGCCTCTGAGAGGCATTTAAGTGGCTTCTCTGAAGCCTTTCAGAGGCTTCCCTGAAGCGTTTCAGAAGCTTCTCTGAGGCCTTTTTTCAGAAGCTTCTCTGAGGCCTTTTCAGAAGCTTCTCTGAGAGGCTTCTCTGAGGCTTCTGTGAGGCCCCAGCGAGGCCTTTCAGAGGCTTCCCTGAAGCCTTTTCAGAGGCTTCTCTAAAGCCTTTTTCAGGGGCTTCTCTGAGGCCTTTTTCAGAGGCTTCTCTGAAGCCTTTCAGATGCTTCTCGGAAGACCTTCAAAAGCTTCTCTGAGGCATTTGAAAGGTTTCTCTAAGAGGCTTCTCTGAGGCCTCTGAGAGGCCTCAGCGAGGCGTTTCAGAGGCTTCTCTGAAGCCTTTCAGAGGCTTGCCTGAAGCCTTTCAGAGGCTTCTCTGAGGCTTCTCTGCGGCCTTTCAAAAGCTTCTCTGCGAGGCTTCTCTGAGGCCTCTGATAGTCTTCTCTGAGGCCTCTGATAGGGTTCTCTGGGGCCTCTGAGAGACTTCTCTGATAGGCTTCTTTGAGGCCTCTGACAGGCTTCTCTGAGGCCTCTGAGAGGCTTCTCTGCGAGGCTTCTCTGAGGCCTCTGAGAGGCTTCTCTGATAGGCTCCTCTGAAAGGCTTCGCGCCCAGATTGGGGGGGGTCTCTACAGCTTCTGCGAGGCTTCTGAGAGGCTTCGGAGAGGCTTGTGAAAGGCTTGTGAGAGACTGCTGAGAAGCTTCCGAGAGGCTTCTGAGTCCAGCTCGGATCGCAACGGGCGACACGATCTGGCCGGCTGCCACCGCGGCGCGCGGCGCTGGGCGCAGAGGGCGGCACGTGCAGCCTGGCCTCGTCGTGCCCGGGCCCGCCGACTCCCGCTGGCTGAGCCCTGCCACCTGAACGAAGGATTGCAAAAAAAACCCTTCGTGCAATCCTTCGCAGGATTGCGTTTTTTTTTTCTTTGCAATCCTTCGTGCAATCCTTCGCTCCCAGACCGCCTGGCGTCGTGACAACACCTGTCTTTGCTTCGGGCCCCGGGGGCCCTCGCCGGGCCCAGGAGCCGCCCGACAGTGACTCGGTGTGCGATGCTGGTCTACTGTAGGCTCGTGCGGCGTTGGCACGCCGGCGACGTTGGCGAAGGCGTTCGAGGCTGCATACTGCGACGCGGAAGCACCGAGGGACACGGTGGGGCCACTGTACCCCACGAGATAAAACCTTGAACGATACGGGCCGCGATCGGTTCAGGGTTGAACGATCGACGCGGTGCCAAAAGCCTTGCCAGTGCCGACGCCGCACGAACCCACCCTAGTGGAATTCGTCCAGACCTGTGGGGGTCGACGTTCTGGAAAAGTAATGACGCTGGGGGTCTGGGCCGCCGCGTCTACCCGCCTTGCCATCCTGTCCTCCTCCTTTTCCTCCTCCTCCTCCTCCTCCTCCTCCTCCTCCTCCTCCTCCTGCTCCTCCTCCTCCTGCTTCTGCTCCTCCTGCTCCTGCCCTTCCTCCCTCCCCTCCTCCCTCTCCCTTCCTCCTCCCTCCCTCCCTCCTCCTCGTCCTCCTCCTCGTCCTCCTCCTCCTCCGTAGCCATTTTGGCTCAAAATGTCTGCACACAGGGGGGTCCGCGCCTCCGTGCCTGCAAGGAAGCTGCTAGTCCGCAGCAAGTTTTCATCCGTTTTCAGGAACCTGATCACCACAGGTATCCTACTTCCCGCCCTTCTCTTTTCGCGGCGCGCGCAGCCATGGGAAAGGGTGGCAGACAGCAGGAGAAGGCTTCATGGCAGCAATGGGCTCCTTGGAGATCATTGGGTACCTCAGGCTCAAACTCGTCTCTTGGTGACGCTTGGCCCGCTCTGGGAGGTGCACCACGGACATTCGGCAACTCAGACACGAACAAGCCATGCAAGCCAGCTACCAATATCTCGAGCCAGAACATCAGCATGCCAAGCCGGGTAGGGACGCCACTTGATGCAAGGTGTGCAGCAAGTTCTGTTACAACGACCAGCTCGAGAAGTTCGACTACACCTGCCAGTACTGCAGCAACTACCTCAAGGGGCGCCCCAGTGGCCCACGGCCTGCACTTGGCGGAGGTGGTCAGCGAGGACAGGTGCCCGTGGACGTTGAAGCCTTTTTGGGGTTCATCATCACGAAGGGCGGCGCTGCAGCAGAGCAGGCTCGAATGTTACAGTCTACTTTGGCACAGACACCAGCGGCTCCTCCCAAGCCCCCGTCCATGAGGCTGGCCGAGGCCTCACAGAGAATTGAACGTGCTGAAATTGCTCTGGACAAGGTTGCAAAGCGTGTTCTCCGATTGGAAAACGAGCTGGGCACGGCCATGGACCAGTACAAGGAGCACGCGGCTAGTCTGGCAGAGGCCATCGTCTCGCAAGAAGCGGTTGCCAAAGAACTTGCCCCAGAACCTGTTCGGCGGCCAGAACTGGGGAAGCTGGACGTACGTGAGTTTCTGGACAAGAAGGCGGAACTCAAGCTTAGTTTTGGAGGTCTCTGCGAAGACGTTGAGTTGGAGGAGCAAGATCGCATCGAGCTTGAGCGTCGGAAGACATCCTTCGAGGACGAGTGCAGGGCCGCGCCCTCGTCACAGTTCAGTCGCACGGCTGCAGCGTTGGCCGAGCAGCAGCAGCAAAAGGTTGAGGAATCGAGTTCTTTGCAGGCTACCAAGAAGCGTGAGGGCAATCTGTTTCAAGGGCCAGTGGCCAGTGAGTCGGGAGCGGCAGCTCCCACTGCAGCGGCAGTGCCTGCAGGCCCTACGGCAGCACCAGCGGCACCTCCGTCTACAGGGACAGCTACGGGGCCGGCGCCTCCTCGATCTCGGCAAGGTGTGGATGAAGTGGCGACGGACAAGCAGAAGGAGCTCAAGGCCATCCTGGAACAGACCCTCACAGCCAAGAGGGCCCCATCGCCGAGTGTTTGATCAGAGCCCACCCTCGGCAGAACGCCGGCTCCCGCCCAGCCTTGGACTGGTCGCAGCGCAGAGGGAGGCCGGCGAAGAGGGATCGTCGGGCAGGTCTACTACGGGTACGGCGTCTCTCCCGACAACGCGCGGGTTATTCCAGGGGGTGGCTCCTTCTGAGACCCCCGGCTGCTACATCAAGGGATTGCGCTACTTCGATCCAGAGGTATTCCAAGGGGCGGCTCCCCCTGAGACCCCTGGTACTCCTGAGCCCCTCTTGGGACCCCTGGCAAGGACTGGGAGACGAAGCTCGTCTTCGACTCAGATGCGATCCAGGGAGCGGCCCCCCCTGGGGCCCCTGGCGCGGACAACGCTGACGCGGTCAACGGCTCCACCGATGACCTCCAGGGGGTGGCCCCTCTCGGGGCCCCTGGTTTTGACTGGGATGCCGATTACCTCGAGTTGCGCGGTCATTTCTTCCACGGAGGGCGGGATTGCTTTCTCTTTTGGGAGGATGAGATATCGTACTCAGGCTGGCGGTATCTTGGAAGCTTATTGTCTCAGAGGCGTCACCTGCAAATCCAGGTTCGTCCTGGTTTCGTCGCGGCAACCGACGTGTCCCCAGGGCACCCAGTCCACAAGAGGCCTGGGATAACAGTCGCGTAGGACAAGCGGCCAGCCGTTTTGCTGGGCGCAGTGCGAATCAGTCGGATTGGATGGGCAGATGGCCACCGCATGCCCCGTTACCCAGGACCGACAATCCTGCACGGGAACGGCGATTGCTTCGCGATGAGATGACAGCCACAGCAGCTAGATGGATCCACAATATCCGAGGAGAAAGATTCAACAGCATCGAACATTGGAAAGAATGGTGCGCACCATACTTCATCGAGGCCCTTTTCACACAGTTCACGAAGGCCGATGCGAATCAACTTGGAGAGCTTCTATAACCGCAGGTTGGCGGGGATCGCCGAGATATTGTGAGCTGAAGTTTGGATTCGGGCCGAAACTCATCGAGCATTTTTTGCTGTGGCTCTCAATGGTATCAGGGACAGGGATCAGCACCGTAGGTTTGTCAGATGGCACGTTCAAGACCTTCGGGATCTGCGTCGTCGATTCAGGTGCTTGCTTGGGAATCGAGTACCACCCGATCGGCCTCTCCCAGACGGTGACGAGGATAGTGATGTGGACGATCTAGCCCAAGATAGGGCCAACCTGGTCTGGAGTTGGGTCTCATTCACCTTGGGTCAGGCCACTACTTCCTCTGACGAGGGCCACGTATTAGATACTGGGACTGGGAAGCAGGCATTGAAGGCAGAGGGTCCACCTCAAGAGGACGGAGGCGTGAAGTTCCGCATTCACATGCGCAACATGTCGACTTGGGGCCCTTTGGCAAAGCAGCTACTGAGGCGACCTTACGACGCGATCATCATCCAGGAAACTCACATGGACGTGTCGGATACGAACGATGTGTGGGTGGAGTTCGATAAAGCGGGCTACAAGAGCACGGTTTGCCCTGCCAGTGCTGGATCGGCACATTTCACTTCGAAGGCAGGTGGGGTAGCTATGGGGGTCGCCAAGAAATGGGCTTCTTGACCCGCGCGACATCTAGCCTCGAAAATGGACGACTTACCAGGTATGAGAGTCGAGAAACACAAGGAGGACCGTAACATCACCACGGGCGTTCGGTTCAAAGACTTGGTCGGGATGCAGGTACTCTTGAAGGGCGCGCACATCGCGATCCTCGGCGCCTACCTCTACAACGGACTGGGGATTACAAGAGTCAAT